GGGGTCCTTGAGGGGGTCTTTTGATGTGATTTTATTGTTTACATATTCAGAGATTATATGCTATTGTTGCAGTGAACTGTAGATGCAGTGTAAAATGTGATGAAAGGGTGGTATTTTAGTTCATATTTCAGTGTAAAAATGCTGACTTTCCCTGTTATGCAAAAGTACATGGCTTTTTTTAGATGAAAGTCAGCATTTTTACCATTGATTTGTGATGAAAGGGTTGTCTTTTAGTTGATATTCAGTACATAGTTGTGTTTGAAAATCATGTACAGATTCAGTTATAGTTTGATCACTGAAACTAAGATTCAGTTGCACTGAATATATCATCTGTCAATTGTTGCAGTGACAAATGGAGAAGCTAGCCAGTTTTTCTCAGTGGAGTTTGAGCACAATGGAATTTTCTTGGGGGAATGCATAGGTGGAGAATTGAAGTTCTCTTACATTGGGTGCAGTCATGAAGCTTTTGACTACTGTCATTCAGACACATGGTCACTGGGGATGATCAAGTATTGCTTGTCAAGGATGGACTATGACCCTACAGACCCTCAAATCAAGGTGTACTGGATTTTGCCAGATAAAGACTATGGTGATGGCCTGCTATGTGTGGACAATCCAGATGTTATAGCTGCTATGGTGAGGTCCAGCAGAGAAGCCAAGACATTGGATTTGTTAGTTGATGAGGAGAACAAGATTCAGACATTATATCCTGAAATCATACTAAAAGGATGCCCAACTGCAGATGGAAATGAGGATGAAGAACAAGGAGAGGATGCATGTAACGCCCCGGATACAACTTTCCATATTCGTAACTCCGACTCTTGCCTTTTCCGGAGATGCTATATGATATTTCCTCCGTGGTTGGGTTTTTGTCTGTTGTTTTGCATTTTGCTCTTGTTATGCATCTCGTCTCATGTCATCATGCGCATTGCATCGACATCGTTTTCATAAAACTTGCATCCGTTCGGGTTCCGCCGGTTCTCTCCGTTGTCCGTTCTGAGCCCGACCACACTCGCACGCGCCCGCGGCACCTCCGAAATATTATTTTATAAGTGGCATAAACATGTTCTCGGAATGGGTTGCAACTTGTCGTGCGGTCTTATTATAGTGTAGACAGGCCGCCTGTCAAGTTTCGTCGCATTCGGAGTCCGTTTGACTGCCCAACCGTTAAATATGTAACCGCGATATAGTCGGTTTATTCGTCGGACGTTTTCGGTCTCCGGAAACTGTTGCCGGGCTGCCTTCTCTTCTCTCTTCTCAGCCCAACCCCCCTCCGCACAGCCCATCTAACCCGGCTTAAACCCCCCCTTGTCTTGGTCGACTTCTCTCAGACCCCTCGCATGCGTCCGAAACTTGCCCAGACCCGAACCGGTCTGTCGTTACCGTCGGGTCCGAATCATCACCAAACATCCCTAAAATATCTTCGGTTTCTTCTTTGACTATCATGACCTTTCTATCTCGACCGTTCGATTTTAATCGGAGGGTCCGATTAGCCCCTAACCAAATCCAATGCTATAAATAGTGGGCAACCCTAGAAACTAGGGATCCTGTCCCATCCATCCCTCCGCCGCCGCGGTTCCACCAAATCCACCTCGGGATCCTCCCATTCCCCACCGAGCCAATCACCAGCCCCTTTCCCGATCCACCCCTCGCCGAGCCTTCGTACAGCAGCCAGCCGGCGCCCGATCCAGGATGGATCGAGGCCACGGTCTAGCACGCCTTTGCCCCCTCTGCTGACGAGCGCGACCCGCCTTCGTCTCCTCCACCCCGCCGGCGAACCCAGCCACCAAAGCCACGCCGCCGGCCTCGTCCCTGCTCGTGCCTCCTCCTCCCTTGGTCCTGGACGCGTCCGGCCGCCCGCAGCCGTCGTCGTCCGCGCCCGTAGGAGCCAGCAGCTGTAGCCCGAGCCCTCTGTTTCTTTCCCGCCTCGACGCTGTCCAAGCTCCGCCATCGGCCACCTCCACGGGCAGAGCCACCGGACCAGCAGTTTCCACCGCCTCGGAGCTCCCTTGCGCCGGATCCGAGACCCCCTCGCCCTGATCTGCCCGTTCCCGGCGCTCGCGTCACCATCAGCCACCCATCGCCGGATCCGTCCCCCTCGTCCTTCCACTCGTCGCCGGAGACGCCAGCGCCAGGTCCATCGCCGCCCTGCGCCTCGTCCGCTTCGCCGGGCTCCTCGTCCAAGTCCCAGGCGCCAAGGCCCAAGCAGTTCCCGTCGCCCGCTTCTCCAGCCGCGCGCCTGCATCGACTGTTTCAGCGCCCCGCATCGCTCCTGTTGACCAGCGCTCGACCGCAGCGCCAAGTCCCGCTCGATTCAGCCGCTCCGTTGACCGCGCCTCTGCCTCCAAATCCCCCGGCCCAGCGCGCCTCCTCACCCAGCCCACACTGCCTCAACCGCCTCCACCGAACGGGCTGAAGCCCATGGGTGAGCTGCCCCCCTGTTCCTGGTTGGCCTGTGTTCAGATTCGGCCCGATGCATTTTTTTCCCTCTGGACGATTTTAGCAATTATTCAATGTTTAATAGATTTACAGAAAACCCCCTAGACTTCATGCATATAATATCTCACAAACCGTGCATCATATTAAAATGTTTTATATATGTAAAATGCTCAGAAAATTGTGTAGATTAATAATATGTCATTTTCATCCCATGTTAAAATGTTTAACTTGCTGTTTATTTAAATTTGCTAATATGCCATGTTAAAATAATTTATTTAATAACTAAATAACCGTAACTCCGTTTTAAATAAACTTTATATGTAAATGGGGTGGAAAAATGCCTAGTTTAACATGGTCCAGTTTATTTTCCTGTTTAACAACAATAAAATATGGTTTAGGGCAGAACAGTACCAAATCCATAATTTGCATGTGGGGATTTTCCGGAATTGTTGTTTGTTGTTTCCGGCCTCACTTAAACTTGCCTAGATAGGTAGTTTAATTATGCCTCACCTCTTGCCATGTTTAACAACATTTAATATTGTTTGGTAGCTTAAACGAGATCAACTAAATAATTGATGTGGTGTTTTGTCAATATGCAACTCATTGCATATTGAGC